TGCTAACGCTCTCTCTTCATATTTTCAGTGGCTCCCACGGGTGATCATGTAATATCGCTGATCGACGAGATCTCCTATCTCTCAGCGCCCGCTCCACTGACCTCGCAGTATAATGAAATTAATCCGGAACAGTTCTGCAATGGCGACAATCGTCCCGCCGACTGTGGACCCAACTGCATGTGCACCCACAAGATCGATATACCACTGAATGCCATTGTCGAGGTGGTGCTTGTGGATGAGGGTTAGCTTTTGGGATTACCCAGAGAATCAATATACAAATTGTTGTTCATTATTCTTATATCTTATCCGATTGCAGTACAACAACCCAATCTGTCGCATCCATTCCATTTGCATGGCTATGGCTTCAGTGTCATTGGCATTGGCCGTTCGCCCGACTCCACGGTCAAGAAGATCAACTTGAAGCACGCACTGGATCTGGACAGACGCGGACTCCTGCACAGGCAGTACAATTTGCCGCCCACCAAGGATACCATTGCAGTGCCCAACAATGGCTACGTAGTGCTGCGTTTCAGAGCCGATAATCCCGGTATTACCAGCATACAATTCCCATATACCTATAACAGATATTAACTTGAATTTACTTTTGTTTAGGTTTCTGGCTCTTCCATTGTCACTTCCTGTTCCATATTGTTATCGGCATGAATCTGATACTGCAGGTTGGCACCAATGCCGATCTGCCACCCGTGCCGCCTGGCTTCCCCACGTGTGGCGATCACACTCCGCCCATACCCATTAATTAAGCCTAGGCCTTAGTTCTGTTGGCGCTAACTAGAGAATTCCGCACAAACAAACAAACAAACAAAAACAAACAAACAAACAAAAAACTAAAACAAGAAGACCCAACTACACTGAACGAAACAGTTTGTACAAAGTTTTTCGTTTTTTCTATTGAAAAGAGACAGCACAACGATTATGTATGTATGTATGTATGTATTTGTTGTAATATATATATATATAGCCCCAACACCTGGATAACTATGATATATGTTATGTATGTATATGTGTATCACCTGTATCACCTGTATGATATTACCTGACTTCCGCAACAGCTTGCCGCCGGGTGCACCCAGCCCTTAAAAGAACCAACGAGAAAAATTGCATCAAGCAACAGATTGCCCCCCCCCTGATCTTGCCCCAATCACACACTCACACACACACACACACACACACTTATGCAGTACACACAGATGTACTGCAGCAAGACGGTGCACTGATATTGAATGTAAAGATCATAATGATGTTTGGAGCAGCCATAAAAATATTCACAGCAAAGCAATTTCAGCAAAAATTTTAAGCCTAATTCCGGATTAGATCCGCAACTGTATAGTGTGTGTATGTATATGTATGTACTCGTTATCTATATATACGTATGTATGTATGTATGTACTCAATTCATGTATGTATATTTAAACTTATGTATATAGGACCAATAAATCACACGCTGGTGCCTACAGAGCCTTTTACGTACAGCTCCAAAATTTTAACTGCAATTTCAGTTGAATTTGGACTTTGTGTAAATTGCAAAATACATGTAAAAACAACCACAACAACAACAACAACTATAAATAATAACTTTTAATGTACATAAAATGTTTGTAAAGAAGAAAACGAAAAAAAAATCGAATCTTTATATATATATATATTATGCTTAAACTATCTACTTATGTAATGCCTAGGGTCTATTTAATGAAAATATACTCTGATTGGCTTGTCACAGTCATATTTAATAGCTGCAAATTCTGTTCAATCAATCTGCATTTGTAATTGATAACTGTTAAAGTAAATCTTGTAAATTTCCCTATTCTTATGTATTTGTATAAACTGGCAAATCTAGAGAGATTTTTTTTTTGTAATTTTTGTAAAGCTTGAATGTTACGATACACGGGGAAGAAACGCCCAATTAACTGCCGTTAAATTTATATTTATTGTTTAAATCAATTTTAATAAAATATGAAAAATTTAAAATAATTCCACAATTTCATTTGACAATGCAAGTATTATAAACTTGTACTCTCTATATAGATAGAGATCTTGTACCCAGTGGAAATTGATAAATGATATGTATTCTTAAAGCAATTGAAAGTATAATTCGACTTGTCTGTATAGCTGCTTATATAGAGGATATCTAACCATATACCCTTGATATATAAACAATTTTATTGTATATACACCAAATTTTGTAATATTTCCAGCTGGGTACAGGGTATTTGCTAGTCGTGACGTTGCGACTAGAGCACTTTTAATATATTTTTATATATATATAAATATTGTTTAGTATTGTATAATATATAAAAATTCTAAATTTACATATATATATTATATTATTCATATTGAAATTTCTTTCAGCTACAACGGAGCACAGCTACTACAGTATGCACAGCATGAAGAAATTATTATGAAAATGTTGATCTAATACGACTTCTTTTATAAATTGAATTTATTCCCAGATCTTAAACCCGCTGGATGCGATCTGTGATCGTAAGCGCGCCGATGCGATTTGCGTTTCGAACTTGAAGAATGCGAAAAAAGTCGATAAGAGCGTTTTGGTTGAGCGACCCGATGTGAAAATCTTTTTACCTTTCAGATTTTATGTGTACGATCCGAAAACGTTATTCATACCAAATACGTACAATCGATTTCTGGGTACGTACTCACTGGCCCGATGGGCTCGTCAGCGTGTCTCCATTAACCAGAAACCATACAGCTTTGCTTTTCGACTAACATTGACTTACATATACTACCTTCTCATGTATGTTTTGCGCTCGTGTACTTAAAACTTAACCAATGCTTCCAAATGGGTCGAACCACCTGATCGCTATCAACACACACACAGTTGTGCCTAGCGGTGACCATCTAACCTCTCTGGTCGACGAAATCTCCTACATATCACCACCGTCGCCGCCTCTGTCCCAAATCGATGATATACCGCCCGAGTACTTCTGCAACGGCGACAATCGTCCGCCCAACTGTGGACCCAACTGCGAGTGCACGCACATGGTGGACATACCGCTGGGCGCCATTGTGGAGGTCGTCCTGGTGGATGAGGTGCAGCAGGCGAACATAAGTCATCCATTTCATTTGCATGGCACGGCATTCTATGTGGTTGGCCTGGGTCGATCGCCCGACAAGTCAATCAAGAAGATCAACTTGAAGCATGCCCTGGAGCTGGATCGCATGGGCATGCTGGAGCGCGACTTCTCCAAGCCGCCGCTCAAGGACACCATCGCTGTGCCCAACAATGGCTACGTGGTGATGCGATTTCGTGCCGACAATCCTGGCTATTGGCTATTCCATTGTCACTTCCTATTCCACATCGTCATCGGCATGAATTTGGTCTTTCACATCGGCACACAAGCCGACCTGCCGCCAGTGCCGCCGCGATTTCCCCGTTGCGGTGATCACGTACCGCCCGTTACCTGGTACTAGCTAACCCGGCCGACAGCCAGCAGTTGGTAGTTCGCCAACTGCAACCACAGCGGATACTTTTCAATTTATTTATTAACCAATCGCTTTAACTTAACTTTTAGACTAAATACCTTATAAAACGATTATTAATGTGGGGTGATAACCATACTAGATCTATGTTTGCGTTTATTATATGTTTATATCTATATCTATATATGTGTATGTTATAGCCTAAGAGAGTAAATGTTGTGTAATGCTCGATGTGACAAACTGTTTGTAGACCACAGCTCGCATCGTTTTGCTAGCTAGCAGCTGAGCCTCGTAGTCAAATGCACTAACCCTTCTCGTTCTACAATATAGTCGCCTCGGATGCGGATCATTTGATATCGTTGATTGATGAGGTGTCGTACGTATCGCCGCCTTCGCCCATGCTGTCGCAGTACCAGGACATTCCCGAGGACTACTACTGCAATGGAGACAATAGACCCGCCAATTGTGGGGAGAACTGTCAGTGCACTCATAAGATTGATATACCACTGAATGCGATCGTCGAGGTGGTGCTGGTGGATGAGGTGCAACAGATCAACATAAGCCATCCGTTCCATTTGCATGGCACTTCGTTTTATGTACTTGGCATGGGCCGATCGCCGGATTCGCAAATCAAGCGAATGAATCTGAAGCACGCCTTAGACCTGGATCAGCGCGGCATGCTTGAGCGACAGTATATAAAGCCGGCTCTCAAGGATACAGTGGCTGTTCCCAATAATGGTTATACGGTTCTGCGATTTCGAGCTGACAATCCCGGGTTCTGGCTGTTCCATTGTCACTTTCAATACCACATCGTTATCGGCATGAATTTGGTATTTCAAATTGGCACTCCAGAGGACTTACCGCCAGTGCCTCCGAACTTTCCTCGTTGCGGTAACCATATACCACCCATAACTCCCAGCACCTCATGGTAGCCAGACTTTATATACTCTCATAAGTAGCAACTAAGTGCATTAGACCTTTAAGTATTGTTATTTATCATCATAGATATTAACAAAATTCTACCTTTGTGCTTTAATGCGCTCCAATACGTTAAAATTAAATAAAAACAATTGTAATTAAATTTGAATTACAAAAAGTATGGCAACAACATGAGAATGATTTATATAAAAGACTTACTGGGAGAATGGCATACAAAGAAAATTTTTTATTGGGATTTAAATTCCTGATGTAGCTTGTAACTGTTATATGCATTCGAACTTCGCGGTATTTGCAATTATCGATATCTTGAAGTGCTATCGAAAGCAGTATTCATCGATATGATTCAGATATATAGTAAAATAAGAGACTGCTTAACAAGCACAATATTTGTATTTCATTTGCTTGTTATTATAATTGTTTTATATAATAATCATTAAAATACAAATAAGCAGAAAAAGAATCGATTGTGTTTTTATATTCATAGTATAGAAAAGCAGCAACTGTTATTAACAAAGTGGCAGCACTATTCAAATGTGACCGCATTGCCACTATAAACAAATATATGCAATATCAAACTAGCTTGTAAATAAAAATATTTTATAATATATATAAAGAGTGTAACAATGGGAAAAATAGAAGGTATGTAATTCAAGTATAAAACTATTAACTATATTCACCATTTTTACTTTTTAAGATCGTCGCTCAAAGCGTAGCAAACGACAAAAACCAGCCAGGTTTGCTTCGCCTACTGAGTCCCCATCATCGCCGACTCCGGCTAACTCCGTTTCCGAGTCATCTGACGCGGTAACACCTCAGACAGTCGCACCAACAGCTTCCAAGACTACAGTGTCAACTACTTCGGCAAACAACAGCAAGAATAATGAAGTGGGTAGCCAACGTTCGCGTTCTGCTGCCAGCACAAAATCATTGCCCGGCAATGCAACGCCTCCAAGCGGTTCCACAAAGAAGCCGAGGAAGCGTCGCAATAGCGATACATCTAGCGATGAAGAACGTTGGCTGAATGCCATCGAAACGGGTAAACTGGAAGACGTCGATGACGAGTTGAAAAAGATAAAGGATCCCAAACTGATGACAGCGCGTCAGCGTGCCATGTATGAACGGACGCAAGACGCCGAGCCGGCACTAGCGGGCTTTGCTGAAGAGCTCATTGCCCTGCCAAGCGGGTATAGGGAGAAAGAGAAGCCACAGACGGCCGAAGAGATACAAAAGGCAGCGCTGAAGTCACAAAAACGCAAGCAACAGGCGGACGAGCGTCGTGAGAAGGACAAACAGAAGACGATGGAGCGTCTGCTGAAGAAGCAGGAAAATGGCAAACAGCGCACGGCAGCACGAAAACTGCAAAACCAAAAGCAGACAACACCATTGCTTACCTACATGAATACCCTAGATGGAGCCTATATTATAGTGCCACCAGGCCAGGAGTTTCCAATTGAACCCCAGACCGCAATCAAGCCGCCGCCAGCCAAACTATGCGGCGTCGCAGGCTGTGGCAAACGCAAAGTGTACAATTGCTCCAAGACGAATATTCCGCTATGTAGTTTAGCTTGTTATAAGAAAAATTTAGCTGTTGTTTAATTATAGTATTATTAAGAAAGTATATTTTATTGATTCATCAAGAAGTTGTTAATAATTTCCTGCTGCTCCGACTCTATGCGCTGCAAGTACTGATACTCGCTCTTCAGACGCTCCAACTCGACAGTTTGTTCCAGGATCTGGCTTTGGTACACCTGCTGCTCGGCCTGCCGCTGCTTGGCCATTGTCTTCAGCTGATTTTGTGTGCCAATAGCGCGCAGTTTCTCGCTCTCCACAACTTTTGAGAAGTCGTATGCAATTTTATAGAAATCCTCGCAGAGTTTCTTGAAAGCCTGTAAGTTTCTCGAATAGTCCAAGCACTCCTGCCGCAGCTCGATTGTCTCATTGGCGATTGCCGGATCTTGCACTCGCAGTCTATAGATTTCGTCTATATAAAGCCCAGCCTTGTTCAGTTCCTCCATATTTGCAACTACTTTTATTGACAATTCAACAACCTAACTGTGTTATGCTATACGAAACGACGTTGCCATGGCTACAACTGCAACCCCGTTCCAGTGCAACCAAAGGCCCATTCATAGTTCATGATATCAGCGAAAGCAAACTAGTTTTCAGTAAAGATTAAATATATTTGTATATATATTTGATTCTACGATTATAAACATCAACTATAGGAGCTAATACTTTGCGCTCTTGGCTTGGGTTTGGATTAAACAGTTTTCGTCGAGAGAGAGAGATGAGCGGATGGGAAATATGTAGAATATAATTGCGATTAATCTCACGATGTTCACAGTGTTTGTTTTTTTTAGTATATATAAGAAATTATGAATAACATTGGTTGCATTTGTTTCGTTCGATAAGTTTATATATCGCAGCAGCGATGCCTGCGCTGAATGGTCAGGAGGGGGCAAACCAACAATGGCTGCAAGCACCGCAATTTTGCCATCAAATCTGTGGGAACTCCAACTTATACCTAAGTCAAGTGGGATTGTTGCGCTTGTTCGAGCGCAAGCGGGCCAAGCCAGTGCGCTCCTCCTCCTCGTCGCTAGTATACTGATGCATGCTGGTGCCACTCACGCCTCCCGCACGCACCGAAGATGTCGCCTGCAGCAACTCCTGATCCGGCGCATTGCGATTCTCATAGAGCAGCACCTGCAGGGTCTCCTCGTAGATGCGCGCTTCCGGAAACTCGACTTTCGTATGCTTTCGATCTGTTGTATAAACAATGGAGGTACAGCAGACCTCGGCCACCTTCTTGCCATGACCATAGAAGGACCAGCAACAGATCTCACTTGGACCGATGACGTCCTTAATGAAGAGTATTCGCTCGTTGAAACGCAACGATAGCTTGTCGAACAGTTCAATATTCTTGAGCAAATTATCATCCGATGTGCTTGTGTACGAGTATTTGTTGTTCTGCCGCTGCACCACTAGAATGACCGCTGGCTTCGACGACGAACTGATCAATAGCTGTTCCTCTTTTTGCGACGTTATTAGGGGTATGCGACAGATGGGCTTCGGCTCCTGGTGCGTATACAGTGCACGCTCGCATGACATCGCCAGCTCCGTGATGCAGTAGTATTTCGCTTCGGCGAGCAGCTCTGCAATCTCTTTGTTCGTCTCTGGCAGCGGTACACTGCCATCTCGCAAAAAGTTTAATATTATACCAAAATGATTGCCACATCGATCGATTAGAATCCAACCTGAAATTGAATTTGACGATTAAGGAAAATTCTCTGCGAGAGAGTCTCCATATGGACAAACCTTCCGAATCTGTTAGCACCTCCATGCGCCCACTAAACATGGCGCTTAGCATGGTATCATTGTGTTTAGTTAGCGTGCCAATTGTCGTATAGTACAAACGTCCACCAACATTGAGCTTAACGTACTGAGATGCGTGTCCCTTTAGCAAGACTTTCTGATCACCGGACATGGCTTCGGGCTCCTTGGCATGTAGTACAAGCTGGTTGCTGGCTGCCTGGGTCAAGTGCACTTTCTCATTAAATGCACGGCCCAAATCATCAATTTCAATGCTGCTGCTCCCGCTGGTGCTCGTGCTGCCGCTGCCACTGCCACTGTTGTTGCTGCTGCTGTTGTTGGTGTTTGTTGCAGCAGCCCCACTCACTGCCCCGTTGCTTCCGTTTACTGCGTCCACGCCCTTTTGTTTGGAGCCTCTGCAAACGCCTTCTTTTGCGTTGCTTACGCTCGCCGTTAGCGCCAATGGATCAATTTTGGCGAATATTTCACTCTCTTAATGGGAATATTAAATGATTACTAACAGAACTCTTGACACCTTCAATACACATATACATATAAATATATACATATATACCAAATCTGAATGAACTGATGTAAATATACAAAAATGTACTAATTTAGAACATAGCGCGTTTACTTGTAAAACATACTAAAATTATATTGTCATACCTGTTTATTGAACACAGCTGATTATTTAGCAGGACTCTTTTCACCGCTTAAAAGAATACAATTTGGTGGATACACTTGCTGATTAACCACTTCTTTAATGGGAGTACTTCAATTCGAGTTTTGACAGTCGCTTTCGGATATAAAACCTACAGCACGCAGTACATGAAGCTGTGGACTCTTAGCTGAATGCAGTATTTTATTTGACACTAAATTAACAAACAGCTGTTATCCACACTTAAAATACTAAACGCCAACTTGATTTACGTTCCTGTGATTAATTTCTTAAATACTGTAATATTTGTTTACTGTAATAGATAAAAGACGCCAAATGTTTAAAACAAAGATATACTGATAAAAATATTCTTAATGTTTCATTTAGAAAGACGATTTACGTTTATAGGCAGGAGTTATCATTCTTACTGGCTTTTATTTTTTATTAACTCGTCACATTATACATTATTATTATATTTTTTCTTTTTTGGTTGCATGCATCGAAAAATAATAATTAAAAATTTTGTATTTGTACGTACGTATGTATGCATATGAATATATAATGAGAGTGAGCTTGATTGTTAATGGTGAATTACTGACAATATTAGAAAAGAACAAAATAAAAAGAATATATTTAGGAATAATTAAAATTATGCGTACAAATGAATATTGTTTGTGTATACACTTGCATTAAATAATTTGGAAATTTTTACTTAGCTCTAAGAGCTCACTTTGAAATAATGACCAAAAGGATGCACCAGCAGCCACCGCTATTGTGGCCTCAATTATAGAATTTATGTGGATGATACGACAACAGCAGGAGTCTCAGTGTCGGAGTTTACCACCATTGTGCTCGAGTTCAGTTCGGCTGCCTCATTCTGCTCTTCAGCGGATGCGGATGGTTCGGGGCAGCTGCTAATGGCATCGGTGGAAATCTTTGCAGTCTCTTCCGTTGACTCTAAGTCATCCTCAATCTTCAAGCGTTTCGATTTGCTGCTGTTCTCACATTCATTAGCGTCATCATCGACGCTGGCATCGGGCGAAGCGCTGCGCTTTAGGCCACTCTGTTCCGCAGCGCCATCACTCTCCTGTTTTTTTAGTTGAGCTGCCTCTAGAATGGCGCTCTCTGTTTCAGCTGGATTGAGTGAGCTCTTCAGTTCTTGTAGCTTCTGCTCGAATTTAACAATGACAGCGGTCATATTGTCGCAACCAGTGCCGTCACCCATTGTGTTTGGTGCCAAGCAGTTGTCAAAAAGCTAATCGAAAGATTAAATAGTAAAAGGTTTTAGTTATATGGCTTAGAGAACTTTCATCAATTTGATGCTCACCTCTTCACAAATTTGCGATAATTTCTTGGAGCCGTCTTTCAGACGCATACGCACAAAGTCAACCACTTCCTCGCTGGACATAAAATTCCAGATGCCATCGCAGGCCAGAACCATGAATTCATCTTCTGGAGTAATAATTAGTTTCTTCACATCCGGCAATGCGGATATCATCTGTGCTTCAGCAGGCAGCTCCAGGTTGGTTTTGTAAGCATGATCCCCCAGAGCTCGGGAAAGATTTAGCCCTCCATTGACGCGGCCATCGAGAGTAACACGACCACCGGCCTTGATAATACGAGCAGCCTCTTCGTCATCCTCGGGCTTATGATCCAGACTCATATCAATGGCTTTGCCATTGCGACAGATAACACAACGCGAATCGCCAGCATTAGCCACATACAGATCGCGACCATGCAACAGGCCAACAACGGCAGTGCAACCGCTATCTTTACCTGGTTCCTCAATCATGTTGGCACAGAAATCATTGTTTGCCATTTGATCTTCATCTTCATCATCATCGCTCACATTTTCATCCTGTAAATGCGAAATTAAATGTTTAGCAATTAAAAATAAAAATAACCTCTTTAAATATTATAATTAAAGCAATATAGTTGGTTTCACATTTTACCTCGTCATCGTCGTCGTCGTCCTCGTCGTCGTCATCGTCGTCATCATCGTTGACGTCGTTATCATCCTCCATCTCTTCATCTGATGAACTTTCGGTCGCAGCAGCAACTTCTTGAGCCTTAGTCACAGCATTCTCGTCATAGTCGGCATCATCATCGGACTCTTCTTCTTGAGAAGCATTGGCTTTCTTCAGCACTTTCTCCGATTCCTTGCTGGTGGACGAGATGTCAGCGGGCTCTGGCTTGGCTTCTGCTGCTTGTTTCTCTACGCTGCCGTTGGACTTTGCCTCTGCGACGTCACTGGAAGCGGACACAACAGCATCTTCCGATGCGCCGGCTTCTTTATTGTCAACTACAACCGCAGCTTTGGCTTCTGAAGAAGTGACACTGCCATTTTGCTCGATGGGTGCAACGACCGGGCTGCTGGTCGGCGGAGTTTTGCTTGCGACGGATTCGTCCTTAGGAGTGTTAGTTGTGCTCGAGGAATTGGTGGTTTTGCTAGCACTTGAACTGCTGCTGCTCACTGTCGACTCATCTTCCGGCTCAACTTTGCCTACTCTTGAGCTACTGGGACCAGCTCCGTCGACTTCGTTGAATGCAGCTACAGCTGCTGCTGAGGTTGAGGAACCTGGGGGCTTTGCTGTTGGATCCATAACAGCCTTATTGACCGCTTCAGCAGCAACAGCAGCAGCACGACGACCACGCAGGCTCGATGACAATGTGCCGGTTGCATTTTCCTCCTTCAGCAATGAAAGGTCATGTGTTTGTGGTAGGCCTTTGTATTTCTCAAGAACCTCAGTTAATGGCAAATGGCTCTCTTCATGCAGCTCAGCCAAGTCTTCAACGTCGTCCTCGTCATCAAAGCCCTCACCGTCCTCATCTACAATATTGTGCTCGCCAGCTAAGATTTTTAATATATTTACCACTGCTGGATCAAGCAAAGTCTTATCAAAGCCCAGAAATGCATCCTTGAGCGCTTGTTCCAGCTGGCCGTTCTTATAGCTGTCTAGGCTCTGAAGGAACTTTGGAAGTTTATCGGCACAATATTGGGCCACCTCGGCACCGCCATGACCATCGTACACGGCAAAGAACGATGTGTCCGTATCAAAATTCAATATCGAGTTATGTGCATCCTAGGATTGGAAATATAACTTGGAATGTGGACAGCTCACATAGCAGATTTGGCTCATTCACTCACCTCTTGGCTGTTGCGCCAGCCTTGCATTGAGCTGGCACCCACGACGAGCATATCATTGAATTCGTCTGTGGACGCTTTATCCGTCTTTGGATGCGAAAGGTAAGCACCCATTTTTTACTTCACACAATAAGTCCAGCGCTTAAGGAATAACCAATCAAGCTGCACGTCGCGCCAGCCGAGTGCCTGCCTACAGTTGCCGTTGCCGAGTTGCGGAAAAATCGATGCTTGGCCAACGCACGCGCGCAGTGTGTACTTTTTTTCGCGCCACCGGCAAAAATAAAGCCGGAATCAAAGGTTGGTTGAATTTGTTTATTCTGTGAGAATAACAAATTGTTTAAAAGATAGTTAGATATTGTAGTTATTGTTTGTTTTTCTTGCTTGCACAATTGAGTTAGTTCGCAAATGTTTCATGAAATTTTAATTTCTACACGTTCTCCTTGGCGTCTCTGTAAATTTTATCGTGTGTATCCAATGCCGCATTGTTCGTTTAATTATTTGCCAAAATATCAGAGAAACTCATTTGTTATGCCCAAGAATAGTTAGAAAATTGCGGGTTTTACCCAACTTACTTTTGTTTGCAATTAGTAGTTTACAAAAATTATTCTTTTCGCAATATTTTCGTCTATCCGCAAAAAAAAAAATCTACACTGTCAACCGTGTGATGAAAAGATGCGATCAAGTTAAAGATGGGATATTTATAAACTATCGGCTTATTTAGTATTTTGTGAATCTGGCAACGCCAAAAAGTCAAACTACGGTGTTTCCATCGAATGACTTGTTTCTCCATCTGCTACATCCCAATACTTACTTATGGTGCTAAATATATATATATTTTCCACTCAAATTTTGAACAAAGCTTAGAAATTTTAGACTTAAATAAAAAATCAAAATAAATTTTACTGCGGCTTCGTATTCTTCACCACCACTTTATTCAAAGTTTGCGATATTGAAATGTATTTTATTTTCATTATTTTATTTTATTAAAAAAAAAAAACATATCTATATAAAAATATAAAAAACTATTATCAAAAGATGTTTAGAATATATTGATATATTGTAGTTTTTTGTTGACATGAATATATTTGACTTAAAATTCAAATAAATGAAAGATTGTAAACAAAAACTAATAAATAAAACTAATAAATAAAAACTAAAAAATAAATAAATTAAAAAATATAAAATAGAATTTGCAACAATTTTATATGTGTTGCAGTTATGGAAAATTTGGTTAGTAATGAAATATTATTGTCATATTATGCTTGTATTTAATGATTATACATAATTGTAATCTACTTAAGTGAATAGAATCCAGCCCCCTTATCTATACTTTCATTCCCAGAAACTTAGATAAGTACGACCGAGTGAGAGTGAATTAGAATCTAATGGGGCAATCAATCTGGAAATCTGAAGGGCAGAAAATAATAATTATGTATGAGCTCCGAATATTTCATTCATTATAAATATTATTAGTTCTCGCTGTCTCTCTCTCCCTTTTATAAATGTCTCGAATGTACATTTATTATTCATAATAGTAAAAAGCTATGATAATGAAAGTTAATACTAACTTTGTCCTACATGTTAATTTGTTGAATTGATTAAGTTTACTATCTGATATTTATTATTTTACCTCTTGCCTTCTCTTGGGAGCATTCCGGCCCCGAGAAGTATGCTATAGCATGGCTTTAAATTGTTAGCTCAACCCCCAAATCTGTCATAATAAATAATGTTTGCTATTATACAATCTTGATATATATGTAGGCTCTATACTAATTTATTAAGTCACATATGTAGTTCCTATAGGGTGGGCGCGATGAAGGAGAGGCCAAATCCTATTTTAGCTGCATGTTAATTATGTTTAGTCAAGAAATAGACTTAGCAATTAATCAATATTAATGTAAATAATGATAATAATAAAATATTAAATTTAAATTAAATTGAAATTTGTATAAAATTTACTTTGGCATCTATACTATTTAGTAATTTAAAATTAAATTCGTTTAATATGAATTTATACTGAAATTTCAATCAGGATAGATTAAATAATTATGCACTGATATAAATAGCTCGACTAATTGAAAAATGCCACAAAATGAGCTAATGAAAACTCTCTGTAAATACACGCACTCATACAAGCCCACACACACGCATATACAGGCATACACGCGCACATGTGTGCAAGTTAGACGTCAAGTTTTAAAAGGTTCTCCTTTGGCGGATGCTGGAAATATGAATAGCCGAGCCACGCTTGCTTTTTATAACTTTTTAATTGTTTCGATAATTTTGTTTACCAATGAATTGGCATTGTCTGTCTGCGGGAAATCTCTCAAGTGACCTCACGTTGATGTTTGAGAAAGAAATGTTTGCTTCACGCTAAATTAATTCTCCATATGTGCTGCAATTAGTCACAGTAAACGATTTCGATATGTATATGGAATATACATTAACGAGTCGACAATGGATTTTTGTTGTTTTTATCTAATTGGCACTTGATAGTGTCAGCTGCAAACTATGAATGTGACATTGTTACCCAATTTTTCGGAACTTTTAGAGGGTAAACAGATTTAATAGTTGATTAGATAATTGATACAGTTAATGGATCAGCTAATGTCAGTACTCGTTTCGCAATTCCACGGAAAACAACAAAAATCAGGAATTTTTATTCCACTCAGCTGGCAACTCTGGCGATCTGCAGCTTAACGACACTTCGGAGCAGTGCATTAAACATGAGCGGCTTTCGGCTAAGTCGGCCAGCAAGCAACATGTTGCTGTGTGTATTATGTAAGCCACTGGCCCAAGGCAGAATTGGTGAACGCAACAAATGCACAGCAAAAGTCACTTGCTCGTCGAGCACTATCGGCAAGCGAGGGTGTTGCGCAGCTCACACACGCACGCACACACACACACACACACACACACATACATACACTCATATACGCAGGAAGACACTTTTATGTTTACCGTTATCTGCATACCAATACCAACAGCGAGCACTACCCACTGTATTGTTGGCACGCTTCGCTGCGACGCGTCACCCATTCCGTTAGGTATAAAAGCCAAGGCGACCAAAGGACCTGCGCTCATTCACATCGGTTGAGTTGTGTTGAAACGTTCGTATCACTTGCCAAACAAAGCTCGGCGATTCAGAGCTACCTGTGGCAGCGGCAGCAGGAAGCGTAAGCGCAGTGCGGTGCAGTTTGAATTTACAGTTTTTAGCAAAAGTGAGTTTCATTTCGAATTCAATCTCGGTTCTTCGTTAAGCCTAAACGCTCGTCAATCCATGTAAGCAATCGTGATCCATTTTAAATTCTTAAAAAAGGTTTTATTTATAGTGTAAGTGATTAGATCGCTAAATTATAGATGAAAGATACTGAATTTTATTTACAAAAAACATGAGTGTTAAATATAAATATATACACATAAACATGTATTATATTGTCTCATGTACATATGTTATAAAATCATACAAATGAAAGAATGTAAGCATAATTGGTATACCATTAAAGACTCAGACAATATAGAACTAAAAATGACTTAGTTTTTGAGTCTGTTGCCAATCTGTTGATGTAATCCTTATAGACTTTAGAAGGGAAAGTGCACATCTGATATCTGAGCAGAGAATGCAAGCGGATTTAATTAAATTGAATTTCGATTAAGACATAGTATTTATGATCATATACATATATGTAACAATTTACTATATCACTGTTTCAGTTAAATAGAATATAGATTTTACTAAAAATCCGCAAAGTATCACTATAAATACATCATTTTCTTTCGAATAAATTATTACTAAATTCAGCTTTTCTATTGTCATCCTAATAAAACATCTATAAATAAAAATCTCTTTAGATGCAAACTCTTGACATTTTTAGGTATCTTATATTTATTATTTATTTATATTATAGTCTTACCGGGTACATGACTTTTGATAATTTGTCACTAATTTAAAAAATTTGTTTTAAAAAATTTATAGAATTATTACGCTGAGAGTTAAACAGTTCACCAGTTTTATCTTTTCTTATTCTTATTTAAAAATATCAATAAGTGTGCTTTTATTGGAAAATAGGTAAGCAGAGGGCTTTAACATAAATATAGAGTTCTTCGATAAATGTCATACATTGAGATTGTCATACATTTTTGAATACACACATAATATATGTTAAGAAGTGCTTAATAACTTAGTAACAATAGAAGCTGGCGATCTTTTTCATATTTAAGTAGCTGATTATCTGCTATAATTTTAATCTTTAATATATGAACTAGAATCACAGATTGGAATAATATGAAATTGTCAATTATAGATCCTTAATTGTTGGGAATACAAAGTCAATTCAAATTTCGATTTTTGCCCTTATTTTATGCATAAATGTTTTTATTGGTGCTACAGCAAGATATTTTTCAAATTACCTCAAATATATCACTCTACTCTGTGCACTCCTCTATAAATATGTATTTATATATGATTCCCATGGAAAATTTACTGAAATGAGCAAAAAGTAAATATTCTAATTCTTGCTTAATTAACAGACAAATATTATTCAATGCAAATTGCCCAGTTGTATTATTAATCAACTGCTAAATATGCATATTTTTTCTCAGTTTGGAGAGAATGGAGAGAGAAAGGCGTACATACATACAAACACATAGAAATGTAGTTGAAGTAATGAAATTACTTATTGTATTGAATATTCTAGCTGGGCTCTTCAGAAAAGTTTTCGTTGAGACCCAGGTAAGAATAAGTCCTGCCCCGAAGGTCTAATGAATATATATTAAGCACAACAAAAAGTGGCTCAAATGCCTGTTGCCTAAATGAGTCGAGGATGAGTCGAAGAGGAGTCAAAGAGTCAATGAGTGAGCTTCATGAGCTTCATACATAATAAATATTAAATATGCACAAATGTTTTTGGCTGCATTTTGTTTGCCGTTTCACTGAGGCTAAGCAGAAAAGTTTGCCGTTGCCCCGGACGTAGCCTGAGGTCGCAGCATCTCTCAGTCCATCAGTCCATCAATCCATCAATCTGTCAATCAATATTCATAAATTGTTAGCCAGTTGCTGCGGGCAGGTTGTTTATGTAGCTAGTTTTCACAGTTTTCACAGTGCCAACTTTTGCGCAACTCGTGCCCCGCCCACAGCTCTCAGCTCGCCCAGCTGCAGGCAGCACGCGACAGCTCCAGCCGATAATAGTCTCCTTGCTTGCAATTTTCCTGAACTGAAATGAAGTAAGCAAGGGCTGCAGCAGACGACCATCTCGAGGTGTTGGCTTACCAAATGCAAATTTTCTGCATAACACTTTCAATACCCTGCCCTGCGGCCTGGAGTCGAATGACAATCGACCTTTTGCTGCAGTTGCCATTGATCGAATATCTATTCCAATATACATATATTGTCCTTATGTAATTTAAATTGCTTTCTGTTTGATTTCTATTTAATTAGTAAGTACTATACGCAATTGAATATAAATTATGAAATTCTACATTTTTATGAATATATATTATTTATGTATAAAATGTATTTTATTGTTCTGCGTAAAACTAAACAGGGTATTAAATTGTTGCCCACACGCAACTAAATCACCTTTTGATTAAATCTTGTATTACGATATCCTGTGCATATTTATTATTTATGGTTTCATATTTGTGCATAAATCGTGAGAGATAGGCGCACAATGAAAATTCGTTAGTTGCATTTACTCGAAATTGAATTGAAATGCAATTGCTTATCGGATAAATGCAGCTCCAACACACACACACACACACATGCACCTACACAAATGCAAATTGTTTGCTGTTTTTCATTTAACAATGAAATAATAATAATAGTGACTGACTGGCATTATGATAGTGCGTAGCACATCCATTGCCAAAGGCAAAACCATTTAAAAAATGTCGCGGCGAGCCCAAAATCCCATCAAGCTAAACACACATAGGTAAAGGAATAGAGAGAGAGAGAGAGAGAGAGAGAGAGAGAGAGAGAGAGAGAGAGAGGGGGGGGGTGATAAGTGGGAAGGGGTGGAAGGCGGATAGGGAAACAGCGACAGGTTTTTATCCAGTTCTGAGGAGCTGGTTAAACTGGACAACTACTATGAAAAGAAAATAAAACAAAATAAGAATTGCGTTTTCTTTGCAAATGAAAATGCGTTAGCTTTTTTTAACAGATTCAATCTCTAGTCAATCAGGAGTTTCTACGGGAAATAGTGCTTCTATGCTGAAAATTAATTTCTTGCAAGATTCTTCTTCGTTTTATACATATATAAAGCAATACAAAATAAACATGAATTTGTAATATTTTCTACAAAACATTATGTTTAAATTTATGTAACAGGCAAAAGGGAAGCGAGTCGATCTTACGAAGTGTACATAATTCAATATATATAATTTTTTTTTTTTTTTTTTTTTTTTTTTTTGTGCTGGTACTTTGGTTTTTTTGGAAAAATTCTATCCACATGAAGCTGTTAATAAGGCGGAGGTGGGGAGATTTAGGATCGATGAGCAGGGTCGGTTGTTACGCATTTCGCATAAATCCCAAATGTGCGAATGCGACTCTGTGTGTGTTTTCTATGAGTGTGGCGACTTGCGTGCACTAGTCTATTGAGAAAATGCTTCGAAAACGTGTTTTGGAGTAGATAGATGAAGCCGAATATGAGTCGCGACGCCAACCCTCTGGTCGAAGAGACGACAGTGCCTGCTCCGCTGCACCAACTTAAGATCGGATTCGGGAGGGGAGACGAAAGCAAAGACGAAGACTTCGTCGGAATGCGAATGCGCGCGATGCTCAACACGGAAAACTAGTTGTGGCGTCGCGTTGTTGTTGTTGGTATTCTGTTCGTTGTACCCGTTTCTGGAGTCGCTGTCGTCGAAAAAATAAACACGCTGAAAATAACAACAGGTGAATGCGAATTCAAACGCAAACGCAAACGAACGCGAGTACAAGAAATCAAATTTCTCGTACAACATTGTTGTTTCCTGTTTCTTTTGACCAAAACCTGGAGCTTCAGCTAAAAGTGAAGGCTCCGCACTGCAACAGTGGAGGATGTGTGCATGTGCCTGTTTTTGTCTGTCTTTGTTTATCATTTGTGAGACCTCGCATACGAGCCACTAAGTTGATCTCGCCGGTCTTTGGGATTTTCCCCGTTCGTCTTGTCGTCCTTATTTCTCGGTTGGCTCACAGCGCACTTGCGTGCTCATTTGCTGGATATCATTCCACATGGCAACGCCCTCTGCCAACGTCTGGTCTTGTTATCACAGTTCGAGACAGAACAATGTTAATGGGTTAATGAATTAAGGGCCACAAATGCTGATTTCTTTTCCATTCAGACTAGTCATTCGACTTATCCATATCCATCTAAAAATCCAATATTAATTGTTATGTCGTAAGTAAAAGATGCCCTGCCTAGTGCATATACATATATAGACTATTCAAGTTATATATTTATATATCCATACATATGTATATTGATTTATCTTTATTCAATGTATACTAACGGGTCTTCAGTTAACAGAGTACACCATTCCCTAACATATTCAGTGGTATTTCAATTTTGACGCGTACGGTGCAAATAGAACGAAAGATCGACCCATTAGTAAAACAATACGTCCATTGTTATGGAGTGGCTGCTGTTTGACTAAACAGACGAAGTGTTTGTTTGTTTGACTCATCAAACTTGACCAATCTCAAACCGAATTGCATCAGAGCAGAGCAGATTAGCCGAGTAGAGGGCATGTGTCAATTGCAACTGATTTTCGATTACAACTATTGACCATTTCCTATGTTATAGATATAGATATAGATATAGATATAGATATAGATATAGATATAGATATAGATA